TACAAGGTCAACACACAAAAATCAATAGCTTTCCTCTACATGAACCACAGACTCCCTGAGAGAGAAATAGGGCAAACAATTCCTTTCACAATAGCATTCAAAAAACGGAAATACCTAGGAATCAACCTAACAAAAGAAATCAAAGACCTCTTCTCTGAAAATTATAGCACTCTGAAAAGAGAGATTGAAGATATATCAGAAAATGGAAAGACATTCCCTGCTCCTGGGTAGGAAGGATCAACATAGTGAAAATGGCCACACTTAAAAACTGCTATATAGATTCAATGCAATTCCAATTGAAATCCGGGCAGCACACTTCACAGACCTGGAGAAAACAATCCAAAAATTCATTTGGAATAAGAAGAGACCTAGAATAGCAAAAGCAATACTAGGCAATAAAGACAAGGTAGGTGGTATCACATCCCCAACTTGAAAGTATACTACAAACCCACTGTGATAAAACAGCATGGTACTGGCAAAGAAACAGACCTGAGGATCAGTGGAACAGATTAGAAGATGCAGAAACAATTCCAGACACACTCAGCCACCTCATCTTCGACAAAGGAGCCAAACACCCTCACTAGAGGAAAGATAGCCTCTGTAATAAATGTTGCTCAAAAAATTGTGTTTCAACTTGCCAAAGATTAAAACTAGACCTATATCTTTCACCATGCACTAAACTAAAATGGAAATAGATTAAAGATCTAAATATTAAAATGGTAATGCAGAACCAGCTGGAACAGAGGTCAGGTGGAAGTTTTGAAGACATTGGTGTAGGAAAAGATTTTATGAACAAAACCTCAGTTACCTGTGAACTAGCACAAAGAATCACCACGTGGGATCTCTTGTTATTAAAAAGCTTCTGCACAACAAAAGAAACCACCAGCAATGTGAAGAGACAACTCACAATGTGGGAAAAAATTTTCACCTGCTGTTCCTCAGACAAAGGTCTACTATCTAGAATCTATAAAGAACTTTAAAAAATCCCACCCCCCAAATTTAAAGACCCAATCCAAAAATGGGCATCTGAAATGAGCAGACATTTCTCAGAAAACGATGTAGAAATAGCAAATAAACATAGGAAAAAATGTTCAACATCACTGGTTATTTGAGAGATGGAAATGGAAAGAATGCTGAGATTCCACCTCACTCCAGAAAGAATAGCTACTATCATGAAGTCAACCAATAACAAATGCTGGCAGGGCTGTGGGGAAAGAGGAACACTGCTCCACTGCTGGTGGGAGTGTAGACTGGTGCAACTACTGTGGAAATCAGTATGGAGATACCTCAAAGAACCAGGACTGGAATTCCCATTTGACCCAGCTATTCCCCTGCTGGGGATCTTCCCAAAAAGAATTAAAAGAATCATACCACAGTGATATATGTGCACTCATGTTCATAGCAGCACAGTTTGTGGTAGCTAAAACTTGGAAGCAGCCCAATTGCCCATCAACTGGAGACTGGATAAAGAAAATGTGTTTTTTAAAAATAAAATGGAGTACTACTCAGCCATAAAAAATGTAAAAATTAGAGACATTTATAGCTAAATGAATGCGCATTGAGGAGATACTCTTAAGTGAAATAAATAGGACACACATGTAAATACTGAATGGTTTCTCTAGTGTGAGAAACTGAAAGTGTAAATAAGGACTAAAAGGTATAATAGATAATGTGAAATATGAAGAAAAGGGGCAAAGGGGAAGGGGGAGTGGGAGAGGTAGGGAAAAGGAAAGAAGGGAATGGAATTAATATGAGAAAATGAAAAAATGGAAACAAAGTCTTTGTAATTAGGGAGGGATTGAGGGGTTGACAGGAGGGCAGAGAAGGGAGAAAAATAAAGACCAAGAGAGATTCTGTAAAGGTGCAAATTTGCAATGATGAATATCATTATATGGTATACCTAAAATGTACCGATAAAATAAAATTGTAAAACGGGGGAGTCATTTATACCTTTAAACCACAGGAGGCACCATCAGAAAAGAACACTGAGTCTATGGATGTACCTCAAAAGGGTCAGCTTCTTATGTCATTTTACAGCACTGGCCAGAAAAAAGTCTTAAGCCTTGAATCCGCATAGCCACTTGAGCTAAATGTTGGGAATCCAGGAAGATCTAAAGTTGTCCAGATCTGGTAGCAACCTCCTCATTTCTCTGCCCCATGACCACCCTCTGCTCTCCTTCTTGATTTGCTTGCACTGTAAACTGACAATTATTGAAGTTCAAGAGCAAAGTGTCACAGCCTGCTGTTTGCCTCTTTGATTTGTCTCTTGCAGTACTATCATGATAAGAAAATACTTTTCCCTACCTAGAGATAGCTTTCCCAATGTGTTTTAATCAAAGTAATTGAGCACATTACACTGTAGCCTCAGTGGACCAAGGATTGGAGCTCCGTCCCTAGCGCATGACTCTCTGGTCAGCAGAAGATGAAACTGGACAATTAAACTCCATTGAAGTTCATCCAACTTTGGAGATTTTCTAAACTGGAAACTTCTCTCTATTCTCGTCTTTGATGATCTACTTTCTTCCTAATAACTTTGGGTAAAGGATAAGGCAGGCAAGATACCCTTTTGCCTATGGGAGGTGAGGGAAAGGTTTAGCAAGCACAACCACATACTATTTACTTAGCATCAATTGTCAGCAATACCTGCTCCCCCAGAAAAAAATTGAAAAAGTCCAAGAGAGCCTAGAGAGGAAGGAAAGGCTTGTGAGGCTGCTAAGGTCAACTCTTTAGAAGTTTCCAAAGCAAATGAAGAGCTGTGGCATCTAGTCTGTTTACAGTGATACTATTAAGAAGTGAATGTAATTCTGCCCTGACTTTCTAGATATGATAACATAAGTAAACTTCAATGTTTTAAAAAAAACTATGGATTCTCTACTCTCTCACTTGCAGTGTTTTGAGGGTGCTGAGCATTGTTGAAATGGGCTGTCTTGGAATTTCCCGGCTTGGATTTTGATGTGTCTTTGGGACACTGTTTGACTTGTTTCTCTGTCATTGCAAGCTCTAAATTAGTGGTTAGGTTGAGATGCTTGGTCAGATTCAGGTACAATCATTTTGTTGGGAATATGTCCTACATAGTGTCCTGCACTTCTATTAGGAAATACAGAATGTCCACTTGTCTCTTGGGCAATGTTAGCAGCCACTGGTGATCACTGCCCAGATCCTTTAACTCATCAGGAGGGTGTAAAAGAGTGATGTCCTAATTCTACCATTCCCAAATCATTTTTTTTTTACCACTTCTTCCAACTTTATTTTTAGGTATAGGTAGAAAAAGCAGGTTATATCTGGAGTTCTTATAGTCCAACTTGCAATGAATATATGTTAAGACTAATTACATTAAGAAGAAATGTTAATGAGGCACACTTTCTAGTGGCTGGTATCTTCTTCCAAACCAAAAGAAAAAACAAGACAAGGGCATGAATAGTGAAGTTGTCAGGTAACATTTTCTTCTTTCAATAATTTTACTTTTTGGATACTTTAGAAAATAAACCCATGTTTTAACTGAGATTATTAACTAAAAAAAAATAAATTGAGCTAAATGACATACACATTAATGTACATAACAACAGAAAGCAAGTAATCCATCTGAGAAAAAGGAAAATGATATGAATAGATAAATAGAAAATATATTTTTTCAATAAAAAAATTAACAATGGCCAACAATTATATGAAAGAATGCTCCATATCATTAGTTGTCAGCAGAGTGCAAATCAATACTCCAATGAAATGTTTTACCCAGTTACAGTGGCTATTATGAAAAAATCAAAATATGACAAATATTGGCAAGGAGGTAGAAAAAAGTAACATATACTGTTGATACAAATGTGAATTAGTAAGACCATTATGGATAAAAGAACGGAGATCCTAAAACACTAAAAACAGAAGTACCATGTGACCAGGAATCTCATGGCTCATGTTCAAAGGAAACAAATTAAGCATGTCAAAGAGACACCTGCAACGTTTAGTACAGCACTAGTCACAATAACCAAGATACAGGACCAAACCAAGAGCCTATCATTAAATGGATGGATAAAGATGATGTATGTACCAAGAGAATACTGTTGAGCATTTCAAAAGATGACATCATTTCCAATAACATGAGCCTGGAGGACAATATGTTAAGTGAAATAAGCCAGGCATAGTGAGACAAGCAGATCTAATTTACATGTAGAATCTAAAAAAGTCAAATTTATACAAGCAGAAAGTACAGTAGTGACTATGGAGTAGGGGCTGGTGACTGGGGATATGTTGGTCAAAAAAACAACATTTCAGTTAGCAAGAAGGAATGAGTCCAAGAGGTCTACGAAAAAAAATGTGGTGACTATATTTACCATGTATTTTATGTTTCTAAGAGAGTAAATTATGTATCCTCACCACAGAAGTATATATACATTAATGTGTATGTTATTTAGCTCAATTTAGCCTTAACACAAGTGTATAAATATGCCAAAAATAATTGTTGTATAAGATAAATACGTACAATTTTGTCATTTTAAAAAGAAATAATTTTTTAAAAAGTAAATAAATAAATGTAGGTTAGTACAACTACTGCAAATTCATCCACCCTCCTTCAGCTCTAGATCTAAAAGGAAAAGCAAGAACAATCCAAGGTTATAAGATAAGATAAGACCTTCATTTATCAAACTGCTCTCATCCTGGGGGTGGGAGAAGCCTCTGCCCCCACTGTGTACTCCTTCAAGCCTGCACCCAAAACCTGGTCCTGACCTCCACTCCCTCCCACCAGCAGGCATGGCAGAGGTGAAATCCAGACCATCTCTTTACTCCACCTCAGGCTAGAGGTCCCAGCCCTGACCTCTGCTCTTGGACAGAGTAAGGGACAATTCCTCCCATGACATGATCAGTGGCAGTGTAGGCTCCTAGGAGAGATAAAAAGGATCTGACTGCATGGGGTTGGAGGGAGCAGGAGAATGACATTTAGGTTGAAGGCAGACATTTGGCTGGCAGGGTCCTGGCTGTGCCTGAGAGGCGCCAGGGCACTGGGCACCAGAGCTGTTGTGGCCCCCAAGACTACAGTGCTGCCCTTCAAAGCCATACCCCAGTACTCAGGCAACAAATGGCAGAAGGTGCTGCAGATCTGGAAGGGGCAGGACTATGATGACTTGCACCTGGAGGTAGATCGGGCCTTCCAGGAGCTGGGGCCCATTTTCAGGTAATGCCTTTCAGAGCCCCTTGTTGAAGATGCCCAGAGTCTCCTGTCCTGCTGGAGGCCAGGATGTTACTAGGCACATAGTGTCACAATTGCCCTGTGGTCCTGGAGCATGGTGGGCTGCTGTCCTAAGTCTTTGCCATGGAGATCATGATTCTTAATAAGGACAGAACAAAGCAGGGCTCACTATGGAGGGGACAGAATACAGAAGCTCTAAAGTGGGAGAGGGTCAGGTGGTACAAAGGCAAGTTCAGGAGAAACCAGAGGTTTTACAGGACCCAGTCTGCACTGATGACAGGGCAGCTACAGCAGAGCTTTGTGTACCGTCTCACAGGTATAACATGGGAAAGACACAGATAGTCTCTGTGATGCTGCCAGAGGACGCTGACCAGCTGTACCTGGCAGAGAAAGTGTATCCATACCGCAAGGTCATGGAGCCCTGGATAGCCCACAGACAGCACCGAGGGAAGAAGCCTGGAGTGTTCTTGCTGTAAGAGGCCAGGATGAGGAGGGAGGTGGGGTTAGCTGCCCAGACAGAGAAGAGGCAACAAGGAGCAGACCCTCGGGCATACCTATCCTGGCCTCTAAGGGGGATGGTGGAAACAGGATGATTGCCAAACACAGATGTGTGCCATGCCTTGGAGGTTCTGAGAGTGGAGGAGCAAGCAATGAAGTGGTAGAGAAATGCACCTTCCTTGGGGGAGGAGGGACACTGACACCACTGTGAGGTTGGCACCTATTCCTTACAGCCTTGGTGATATTTTCTCTCACAGGTGAGTGGCTCCCCTTACCACATCTCAGAGAAATAGCCCTGAGAAGGGAGGAGTTGGCTCAGGGCCACAGCCAGCATATTCCAGAGTTTGATATCCACCAGGCTGCAGCCTCCCTCCCACCTAGTGTCTTCCAAGAGATAACACACCCTTCACTCTATAGGAGAGAGTCCTGGAGAAAAGGGTGATGGGGATGCAGGATGGGGATAGCTCTTTGTGCTCAGAAGCAAAGCTGTAAGTGAGCTAGTGGCACTGGAACCTGGAGTCTTCCTGTGGAAACAGAGGACACCTGGAGAGGTAAGGAGGAAGAAAGTGGTAATTGGGGCAGACCAGCTGGGAAAAGGTTGTCATCCGGAGCCCAGAGCACTAAAAGAGACATGTTGGACTGTGGGCAATCATGCCACCTTGTCAAGAAGTGAGTTCTCTTGGGATAGCAGGGTTTAAGGAAAGAGGTCCTTTGAGTGTGGCCATTAAGAGGAGAGGTGGCTGGTAGGGATGGAACACCAGAGGACAGGCCAGGGAGAAGGGTGGGCATGTGTATTTGAAGGAATCAGTGAGCCAGGGTGTGCATGTGGGTGCATATATGTGTTTGTGTATGTGTGTGTATACATACACTTTTTATCTGCATTTGTGTGAATATTGTCTGTTCATACATGTGCACCTGTGCATGTGTGTGCGTGTGTGTAAATACAAATATCTGTTGGGTGTCTGTGTTTCTGTGTGTGCATTTCTGTATGTGCATGGCTCTTATGTCTTGTTTGCCTATATGAGTGCATGCAGGTTTGCAAATGGGTTTTGAGTTCCTGCATAAGCACAGACATGTGAGTGTAGCTGTGGGTGTGATAAGTATCAATAGTTGCAGGCATCAGCCATAGAAACAGGCAGGTGTGTGGCTGAGAGTACAAATTGCTGCCCACCATTGTTTGGAGAACCTCCTCCAAGCTCCTCTGGTCTCTGGGCTGTGGCTTGGAAATATGGTGAGTGCTATTATTCGGACCTGTCCGGGAGAAGATGGGGACATTCTTGGCAATAGGCAGAGGCTAGTGACTGAGAGGACGCACGCTCCATAGGGAAGGACAGGGAGGTGGGAGGTCAGCCACCTCTCCCCTTGGGGGATGGTGTGGGCTAGGTGGGCATAGCTTGAGAGAAGCTTTAATCTCCTCTCATGGAAATAAAGCCTCCCCATCCAGGCAAGGTTGGTTATGAGTGCTGTGAGTAGAGAACTCGGGGCCTGTGAGTTCAGATGAATGAAAGCAGCTAACTGCAGCAGGAATTTCCAGCAGAATTTGGTGTCTTTCCCCATTTAGACTTCAGTGGCCATGGTACCAGCACATGAAGGTGACTCTGAGAAAAAGAGGTGCGCGGACCTGCAGCAGCTTGCCTTCATGGATACATTCATCTCCCTCCCAGTGACACCCAATTCCTTCTCGGGACCAGGAAGATGGGGCTAGGGTTGACTCCAGCTATGCTCTACCCTGCAGGAATGGGCCTGAATGGCACTCTGACCGACTACAGCTGAACCCAAATGTGCTGTCCCCAAAGGCAGTGCAAAAGTTCCTCCCCATGGTGGACATAGTGGCAAGAGACTTCTCAGAGGCCTTGAAGAAGAAGGTGCTACAGAGTGCCCAGCGGATCCTGACCCTGGGCATCCAGCCCAGCATTTGTAACTATAGCATAGAAGGTGGGTTCTAGGGTGGTCCCAACCTCAGGGCATGAGGACACAGCCAGCAATGGGTGCAGAGGGCTGGGTACAGAGGGTGCCTTGAGGTCAGGCACCATCCATCTTCATCCAGTGATACCATTGTCTCTGCAGCCAGCAACTTTGCACTTTTTGGAGAGAGGTTGGGCCTCCTAGGTCATAACCCGAGCCCTAACAGCCTGAACTTCATCCATGCCCTGGAGACCATGTTCAAATCCACCAGGAAGCTCATGTTCTTGCCCAGGTATCTGCCCAGCTGGATGAGCAGCCAGGTGTGGAAGGAGCACTTTGAGGCCTGGGACCACATCTCTGACTATGGTGAGTCCCAGGGGCAGGAGAGTCACCTACTTTCCCATGCATCACCCGTCTTCCCCCCAGGGCCACAGGGAGTCCACATAACAGGGTAATGGCATCCCGAGATCTTGCCAGGGGATTGGCAGGAGACTGGGCTGGCCCAGCCTGTAGACAATGGAGGAAGCACAGAGATTTGGAGGTGTCATGGGCAGATGGGGAGGAGAAGAAAAAGGAAGCGATGCTCCCAGCTCTGCAGTCTGAAGCTCTCTCCTTTCTTGCAGCTGAAAATTGCATCCAGAAGAAATACCAGGAGCTGGCTGCAGGATCCCCTCAGTACTACAGCGGCATCATGGCAGATATGCTGTTGGATGGGGACTCATCACTAGGTGTCATCATGGCCAACTCTTTGGACTTCATTGCAGGGAGTGTGGACACGGTTAGGCCATGCATTTGAAACCCACCTGGACTCCTTGAAGTGTCTTCTTAAGCATAGTCACCCACAAGCCCCAGTCCAGGCCTTGCCCCTGAATTCCTGTTGCCTTCAGCTGTGAAGTGATGGGAAGCTGGGGGGTGGGGGGACAATGGAGCCCACGTGGAGGCCCATAAATTTGGCAGCCACAGATGTGGGAAACTATGTGGAGGCACAGGTGGAGTGAAAATGGTCTCCCCGAGAGCAGCCTTTTCTACATGTGCACATAGTGGGACCTGGAAGGATGGGGAGGGGCGGAGTGGCCACTGGAGGGCCATGCAGCAAAGCCTGCCAAGTAGCACGGGCATTAAGCAAAGATGCTTGAAGGGCAGAGAAGAGGAGGTAAGAGGTTCAGGGGTGCTGCTGGGACAGAGAGTCGATGGCAGCACAGGAAGGAGAGGGCACTGGCCTCCTGGCAGGATCTTTGCTATGGAAGAGAGAATCTTCTTCCCACAGCATCTGCTAAGGGCCCACTTGGAGACAGGCCCCTACATTCAGAGCAGGAAGCCAAGCCAGGCCAGGACTCGCACTGAGCAAAGGCCAGGATCCATCCACCAAGGACAAGTGCCCAGGAGAGTTCATGAGTGAATAGTGAGGCATTGGGCCGAATGTTCAGTAAGAAAGCAAAGAAAAGAGGCCATGAAGGGGAGGCAAGGAAGGCAGAGCCCAGAGCACAGAGTACCACAGGACCTGGCAAGGTACCAGGCTGGGTAAATCAGGTGGACACAATGGCAAATGAGGCAGAGAAAGAGAGGGCTCCTATCAGGAAGGGACCCAGCACCTGTCCTTCATGCCAAGATAGAGAAAGCCCACCTTGGGAGCATGAGGTCAGAGTGAGCCCTTCTACCTTCTCAGGGCAGAGAGTGGAGCTTGCACGGAGTTCCACAGCATCACTGGGGCTCTCAGTAGGCCATTTCTGCAGCTCAGGTCACACAACGATCCATTTTGGAGATAGTGAGGTATAGATCTCAGACAGGCAATGGGAGATGTGTTTCATGGGACCAGAAATGAACCTGGAGGGGGAAATGTTTGGGGCCTGGGGGATCATTTCCTGTTAGTACATCTAGGTCTATGGACTACCAGGGCAAAAACGTCATGAGAAGCTGATGGGTGTGGTCTCCAGAGCAATTTGAGGAGTGTCGTGGTCACTTTCTGAAGCTCCAGGAAGGGTGTGGGCAGCAGACATTGAAGTGATATAGAACTGGGACCTTTCCCTCAGGACTCAGTGCATGTGTCCCAGTGGGCTTCAGAGTCCTGAAGTCTAGGATGTGGGCCTGTCCTCTACTGTGCATGCTCATGGGAGGGCTGCCCTGGATGGAGGGCAAGTCAGTGTGCAGTCTGAGCCTTGCCCTCTGACTCCTATAGACCACCTACCCAATAATGATGACGCTCTTTGAGTTGGCCAGGAACCCCACGGTGCAGCAGGCCCTGCACCAGGAAAGCCTGGCTGCTGAGCCCAGCATCTCAGGGAATCCTCAGAGGGCTACCATGGAACTGCCCCTGCTTCGAGCAGCCCTCAAGGAGACCCTGAGGTAGGTGCCAGCTCAACCCTACCCAGTCCATTTCTCCTCTGCTTAGGTGGCTTGAGGACACAGATGGAGATGGGTGGAGATATGAGGAGCTTTTCCTGGAAACCAGCTGCACCTCAGCTCCTCTTCTATCTCAGGTTGGGGTAGAGCCCTCTTCCTCTGGGATCCCATTTCAAGTCCTGTGGCCATCCTCCATGTCCTTCCTGGCCTGCACTGGCCTTATGGAGGGAGGCCCGGCTGAGCTCAGCAGGTGCATGGAAGCCTAGTGTCAGGATGAGGGCTGACTTCCCTTCTAGGGGTCCTGTGTAAGAAGGACCGCAGAGGGGACTGGAGGAGACTTGTCATAGCTCAGGCATCTCTTCCGGCCTTGCATCCCCAGGCTGTACCCTGTCGGTCTTTTTCTGGAGAGAATCCTGAGCTCAGACTTGGTGCTTCAGAACTACCACCTCCCGGCTGGGGTGAGTGAGTCCCCACAGTCCCCCTGCTGAAGGCATTTGCAAGTTGTCCCTCAGGCACTTGACAGCCCCCTCTGCACCTGTCTGCAGACCTTGGTCCATTTGTATCTGTATTCAATGGGCCGAAACCCCTCAGTGTTCCCGAGTCCAGAGCGCTATAACCCGCAACGCTGGCTGGACAGCAGGCAGACCTTCCATCACCTGGCTTTTGGCTTTGGGGTGCGCCAGTGTCTGGGGCGGCGTCTGGCAGAAGTGGAGATGCTGCTGTTTCTGCATCACGTGAGAGAGCTTGGGTGGGGCCTTGGGATGGGGTGGGACCCTGGCCAGGGTGTCCAGGGTGGGTCTGGGGAATGGGGCAGGCCTTGGCAGAGGTTTGGCATGGCATGAGTGGGAGGGGCCTTGCAGAGTAAGGTTGGGCCTTGCATAGTAGGGCAGAGCCTGTGTGGTGGGTGGGCTGTGCTCTGGCAGAGTGGGGCTTGACCTCAGCAAGGTGGGGCCCTGCCTGGCAGGGAGGGGCTTGGCGGAGTGGGTGGGTCTGCATGGGAACATAGGCTGCTCCTCCCCCGCAGTCTGGTGGCTGCACTCAGTTCAGTTGCTACAGCAGCCTAGTCAGGACCCTGGCCCTGCTAGGAGCCCAGACACAATCTGCACTTCTGTCCTAGATTCTGAAATCCTTCCACGTGGAGACACCGCTCCAAGAGGATGTGAAGTTGGCCTACAACTTTGTTTTGATGCCCACCACCTTCCCCCCCCTCACTTTCCGGGCTGTCACCTAGTCATACTTCCCCACCGAGGATCCCAGGCACAGCGCTATCCTCTGTCTCCATGATCCTAGGCCACCCCTCCTGTTCTCCTGCAAGAGCACTGCTTCCTGGCCACAGTGCTATGTAGAGGGCTCCCAGCTCAAACAGTGCAGGCAAAGCCCTGCAGGATCTGGGCTCAGCAGGCTGTGCAGCCAGGCCAGAGCAGAGCTCAGGAGGATCATGGTGGCCCAGCCTGGTTTTGTCCCCTCCCCAGCCCCACCCAGCTCCATCTCCTGCAAACTTTCTCTGCTAGAACACTGTCTCTCTCTCTCCTGAGCACGGTTTCCAGCATCCTCCTGTGGCCATCAGATCACACTCTTAATATTGGCCATACTTATGTTTTCCATTTATGTGGAATCAGCAAAGAAAATAGATCTAAGTTGGCGACACATCACCTGAGCTATGGCGTTGGTGTACGTGAACTCAAAAATTAGGAAAGTAATTTTGGGGCCGGGGATTAGCTCCGTGGCACTGCGCCTGCCTTGCAAGTGGAAGGTTCTGAGTTCAATCCCTGGTACCAAAAAAAAAAAAATAAAAAAGGAAAGTGTGAATACTAGTGAGGATTGTGTATCAGCAAGGGGTTGTGGTGGTCTCTGAGGGTCAGAGATGTAGACAGGAGGTCATAATGGAGACCTGGACGAGGTGACAGGAGAGGTCATTGCTGGAGAGCTGTGTCTTCCTGGAGATGAAGCATTAACTGACATGAGGCAGGTATTTCCTGGGGAAAGCAATAATCTCCCTGAATATTTAGCATGGATCAGAGTGTGTTAACCTGTTGCAGATTTCTCTGGAGGCTCAGCAGTGTATAGGGAGTATATTTTGACAAAGAACAAGGATTTTATTAAATTGGGTGTGTGGGATGAATTAGGTCCACTGAAAATCAACTTAAAAAGATGTTGAGCCCCAAATGTCCTTAGAACGTGACTGTATTTAGAGATAGCACCTTTATCAAGGGATTTAATTTGAAATCAAGTGACTGGGGTGGACTTCAATCCCATATGAAAATGTCTTTACAAGAAGAGTAGTTTAGGTCACATACCCACATACAGGCACCACATGAGATAAAACCCAATAAAATGTAAAAATCCATAAACAAGTAATTCATATGCATAGGGATGAAATAATATAGAGAAATAACATAGAGAAAATTACTCTTGGCTCTTCACCTCTATGGTGTTCTCCCACAAGACATATAACTTCAATGTAATTATGAGAGAACATCAGATAAATCTTAACACACTGACATGATGCCAAACACCTGGCCAGAAGTTAGTGTGACAAGGTCCTAAAAAATAAGGAAACACTGAGAGATGGTCACAGGTTACACTGACCAAATGCAACATGTTATCCTGGGGTGGATATTAGTGGAGAAATTGGTGAGATGCAGACAGAGTCTGTGGTTTAGTTATAATTATTGTTCCAAAAGTTAATTTCTTTGTGTTGACCAATGCACTATGATTATGTAAGATGCTGACACAAAGGAAGTTGGGTGAAGTAGGTAAGGGAGTGTTCTGCTGTCCTGTGTGATTCTTGGTTACCTCTAAAATTATTCCTGAATAAAGATAAAAATATACGTACCAAAGCAATTCATTGCAGCATTGTTCGTGAGTGCTAATGTTGAAAAATTCCTGGATGTTCATGTGGAGGAAATTGATTGAACAAGCTATGGAATTGACACACAATGAACACTTCTGTAGTCATAAAAAGGAGGAAGTAAACTTCCGAGTGTCATCAGAGTGATTTGAAAGATTTGCTATTCACTGCAAAAAAAAAAGACAAAATTTATGTATGTATAAAAGAGTAACAATTAAAAAAGAAAGGAACTTAAAGAAGACAAATCAGAACTTTTGATACTGTGTACTTATGGGTGTGGAAATGGGAAGAAAAGGATGGAAGGGCAGTGTGACATCTCTTCTGTCACTTCTCTGACTACGCTTTTTTAATAGTTCCTAGTTTTGCACCTTTGACCCTATTGCACATAAACAACGTAAAAGAAATGGAAAGATGTGGTGGGGAGGCTCCTGTACACGAACTGCTAGAGGCTGAAGCTCCAGTCAGTTGGAGGCAGCACCTCACCTGCAGTGCTCAGAAGCAGCACAGGGCACAGCATCTGAAGCTGACTGTGCAGCAGGAAGCCACGCCCCAGGGATGGGGTAAAATCAGGCCCCTTTCCATCCACCTGACCACAGGCGACAGGAGTGCAGCTCCCTGGAGGCCAGCTAGGAGTCACAGAGCTTTCAGCAGAGGCCTTCCAGTCTGGGGAGGAAGATGGGCAAGCAGCATGGTCACAGGATGCCAGGCAGAGGCAGGGCAGGCTCACACCTGTAGGGCCCTTTCCCACATAAACTCCAGAGCCCTGCTGCCCAGCGGCCCCCTCACAATCACCTGCTTCCTGAGGCTGGACTCTTTTCTTACCCTCATAACACTAGCTCCCTGGCCAGCTAGGCTGCAGAACACAGGCACCACACTCACCTTTTAGCACAAATGAG